AAGAGGATCTAAAAACTGCAGGAACAAAATATCCTTTCGTTACATCAAAGAAAATCAGTATGTCACTAAGGAGTTCATTAATGACAAATTTTGAAGCAAACTGAATTCAGCACAGACTATTTTGACATCAAAATTATCACTGGGTTTAGAAATGGACTTGTCTTTAGATTTCCAAAGCATTTTCTCTATATTTGCTTATGGCATTTCTTTGTATCAACTAGTTATTCACAGTATCACTTGCTCTTACATGTTATTGAGGTTTTTCACAGCTTAAATTTCTCAGAAGTTTATTTTGTTTCTTAACCAATACCATTCATTTTAGCACTTCCTTTGAAGAGGCTGATATTACTAACAACCACAAATGGAGGGAACAGAAAAAGCAAGGGGCCTTTGAGCAAGGCTGTCTTGCATTTTCCAAGTTGCATAACCAGTAGTACTGTTTTAGCAAAGAAAAACTTTAGTAACAAACTGAAAATGAAAGTATTATCTTAAGAACTGACACAAAGTATCCCACTAAGTAGGATACTTTCTTGGTCTGAGGAAATGAAAGAGAGAGACTATTCCTGCGCTGAAAAGGAAAGATAAACTAAGGGAGTGCTATGAACTTGGAGTGAATTGAAAATTCCTAGCAGGTATTTTAATTCTAAGGATTTCTAAATTTTGATGTAGAGTCATTTACATTAGGTGATAAAACTACCCACTTTGCGCTCCTAAACTCCCGAGCAAAGCTGCTGCTCTTGGAGAGCTAAGTCACCATCCTCAAGTCCACTCGGCTCAGCAGCCCTCCGGGACACAGTGCTCCCATGCAGCTGCGGGGGCTGTCCGTCTGTGAGGAGGCAGAAAGCCTCGGCATGCTCTTGAGGACAGTTGGTGTACGTAGACATTTTCTGGATACCGATGAAGAGGTTTGGTTTTCCCTTTAAGTGGATGATGATGTAGAACAGCAAAATGGCCAAAATAAGGCGGTAAACTTTGATTAAACTTGCACACAACCTCTCATCACCATCATTTCCCTTTTTAAATTTCTAGAAAACTGGGGGTGGGGATTAGACTTATGTGTAACATAGCCGGAGAAGAAGAAGCCAAAGTTATTAGGATGTTATTAGCAATTTAATATCTAACTTGCTCCAAATTAATGGGGGTTGGTTATTACCATTCCTCTCTATATTGATTATAGTGTGGTTTATGTTTCAAAATTAAACTATTTTCCAGTAAAGTAAAAAAAAATTCAGGATAGACCATTCAGAACATTGTGTAAAAAAATATTCCAAAGGATCAAGAAACATTCACAATGACAAATGATTTTCATTCATGAAAGCAAAGTAGTGTTCAGTATCTAAAGCAAAGAAGTCTCACTAGCCTTGTTTCTAAGGAACATTCTAGCTGTATTCGAAGATTAGAAGGGAGGATGTGAGACTTTGCCTCACATACGTTGGATGAAAACGACATGTTCTTTGACAAAGTGTCAGGGCAGTGATAAGGAGGAAGGCCCCAAACACGATCGGTTGACAGGATCGCTGCAACAACGGGCTCAACCACAGCGACAATGACCCGCATGGCACCGGATTTGATGGGTTATACATCAGGTTGCTGTGAGTCGGAACTAACTCGACAGCACCTAGCAACAACAATAAAGGTAAAGAATAAAACGATATTTAAACATTGGCATTTTAAAATGCATAGAAATTACCCATTTAAAAAAGTATAAAGATCACCAATAACAAAATCTATTTTGTTAAAGAGATGGCTTTGCAGATTTTTATTGATAATCCATTTATTCATCTAAAAGAGGTAATGTTAGCCAAAAGCAAATCAAAATCTCATTTGCGGACAGCAGGCAGCATGGTGAAAATTAATATATATATATAATTAATAAAACATTGTGAGAAACTAAAAAATTGCTAGCATCAATTATTCAACTTATTTTTAAAATCAAAACATTGTGTTGTGCGCCTCAAACAAAAACGTTGGCCTCCTTCCACTCTGCATGCGGACCTCCATACTAACAAACATGTCAAATAGACGTGATTATTCACGACTAAGCTGGTTTTTCAAATCATGCCAAAGTCATACAGACCTTAAAATATAAGGGAGGAAAATCTCCCTAATAAAGAAAATACATACTTATAAGAGCTAGCTACCTAATAAATAATTCCTTAAATCATTTCTGAAACAGAAATTCCTATAACCGGCTAATAAAGTTCAAATAAATGGCACAGACTGATAAGGAAAAAAAGCTTACAAGCAAAATGAGATCAAGGAAATGAGATTTGTGGCCATACAATAGGAATGAGAGCATGAGCCTGTCTAGACATTTTCTCCTCTGATGTGTATAGCTATGCAACACCAAAATATAAAATCCAAACAAACTCAGAGCAAGTTAATATCAGCATTCTCATTCATGACCACATATTTTAGCATGTTTGTTTGTTGTTCATGGGACTCATTTTCTCATGAACTGAAAATTCTATTAATTGTGTAGCTATGAATATTATATCAATAGTAATGCCAAATATATGTGTAAAAATTAAGAGTATCCTACCACAAATAGCATCCCCCCACTACCCCAAAAAAAAGCCAAAGCCACTACCATGAAATTGATTCTGACTCATAGACACTCTCTATTATGGAGAAGAACTACACCTTTGAGTTTCTGTAAATCTACCAGGAAGCAAAAAGCCTCACCTTTCTCCCTCAGAGCAGCTAGTGGGTTCTGGCTGCTGACCTTGATGTTAGCCGTCAGACACATAACACAGTATATCACCGCGGCTCTCTACAAATAGCAGATATGTGGCTAAATATGATCAAATAAGGTAAAGATGGCACAGTGAGGCTAATATGAATGTTACATCTATATTAGACCCACGTTTGAATGTTTAATACTTTCATCACATGCTATGAAGACACACACACAAATCCAATATTTCACATACAATGTACTCTTTTTTTGAAACCTCTGCATTATAGGTCATTTTTATTGTCATATTATTGTCATTTTGTCATGGGGTTAGGTGCTGTGGAGTCTGTTCGAACTCATAGCAACGCTATGTACAAGGGAACGGAACTCCGCCCAGTCCCGCGCCATCTCCTGCTTGTTCTTGTTTGAGCCCTTGGTTACAGCCACTGTGACAATCCATCTCCTGGAGGGCCTTCCTCTTGTTAGGTACTCCTCTACTTTACCAAGCATGATGTCCTTCTCCAGGGAAGGGTCTCTCCTGCCAACAGGTCCGAAACAGCTGTGATGAAGTCTTGCCATCCTTGCCTCTAAGGAGCATGCTGACTGTACTTCTCCTGAGATGGGTGCGTTTGTTCATTTGGTAGCCCATATTCTTCACCAGCACCATCATTCCAGTGCATCCATTCTTACTAGCTACATAGGCCAGTTGTAATCATATATCAGTATTTCAGGAGGTCGCTTTTACCCTTTATTAGTAAAGTAGTGGGTCAGAGAAAAAAGAGGAAGATCTTTGACAAGATGGATTTCCATAGTGGCTGCAACAATGGGTTCGCACATTGGAGGCACTGGGGGGCTGGCGCAGGCCGGGAAGTGCTGCCTTCTGCTGTGCCTGGGTCACTGTTCGTCAGAAGCCACTGTGATTCATTGTGATCTGCTTATAGGAAATCCTGAATGGAGTCACTATGATCCAAGTGCAAAAAGAAGCTATAAAAACTGTGTGCTTTTACATATTTTAATGACTATCTCATACCTAAAATTATGTTCATAAAGCCAGCTTTTTTCAAGGATATAGACAAAAAGACTCCAACACAGCTGAAAATGTGGGTTTAAAGTATTTCATTAAATCTTGCTAATTTACACTGCATTTATTGATCAACATATATCCTCATGCAAAAAGTATATTAAAAATAAATCCATAGAACAGTAACGATACTTGTTCAAACCTTTGAGCTTAAGCTTCAAGACAATATGCATTTGACCTTAAAGACATGCATATTTTCCAAAGCTATCTGTTGGGCCATATCTAGGAAGGTCAAGCAGAATCCAGTGATAAAGTCTATACCTATTAAAACACCACTGATATTATAAAATGTAAATTATGGTCTAAACTGGTTAAGAAGGGAATCAATTAGTGCTTGATCTATTTGAATTTCTTACTGAAAGTCCCTAAGAGTGAAATACACCTTTCTCCTGTTGCTCATTTTTTACTGGCATTTCTATGTGGCAGATGGTGACCTTATCCTTGTGCTTCAGCTAAAAAGATTTTTATTAAGGCTAAACAAGTGTGAACAGCACTAATTTCCTGCAGCAGGCAAACATGAACAAACCTCTAGAATGAGCATAAGTGCCCTGCCTCTCCATATGGTTAAGACCCACATCCTGCCAATCGAATGGACTGAAAAGTAGCCAACATGTTTGAATCCGGCCCTAGTCCCATGTTTCATCATTAGCTACCCAATCAAAGACCAGCTTCAGAGGCAAGGAGATTATAACGGATGAGAAGGATAATTTAATGAATTGCTTAGTGGGTTAAACTCTGAAGAAGGGAGAGCCGTTGGTAAATTCTAAAATATAAAACATTGGCAGTTCAGTGCTCATCATCGGGCTTGTGATGCCCTTGCCACCCTTCTCCCTCATAGTCATACAGGACCGCCCCCACCCACCTGCCTTCCACCACGTGCCCAATGATGCGAGCGACTTGGCCACTAGCCCAAACTGCCCTTTCATTGAGTACTCCACGGTCTAGAGGTGAATTTCTAATTTAACTATGTGCTTCATTTGATGAAAATATATTTTTAAAGATACCTAGTTTAACTCATATCTAAAATTTTCTTCACTATATATAAATACAAACTAGGCATGGCAATTAGATGTTACATCAATTTATGCCTTTGTGCAAGTGTAGGGGTCGAATCCAACCTATCCATCAGGTGATAGCTTGATGAGGCCTCCTTGGCTAGGTGGTCTTTTTATAAGAGTGACTTCACTTATGTAAGTAAGAGAGAACTTCACTTTCTTTGGCCCCTTATCTTCCTCTTTGCAGGGACTCTGTGTTTGCTTCCATGTGGGCCATCCAACATTGGGCGCTGTCACCCTGTTATCTCCCAAACGTTGGATCCACAAGACTGCACCCACCAGCCTGGGACCTTCCTGCATCCTGCTTCAACTTTCTGTTTCATCAGTCTGCAGATAAAAGGGTCTGAAGAGGGCTCTGGCTAACATCAGACCCACGGACTTGCTGGACTGGGCTGGGATGCTTTCTTGATACAAAATTATTTCTTTATATAAAGTTCTTTCTTATGCATATGAGTGTCAATGGTTTGTTTCTCTAGAGAACCCAGCCTAGGTATAAAATTATTATGCTTTCATCGTATTTCAAAACCTTATAAATAAGTTTTGAATTAACTACATTTTGCTGCTTTTCTATATATAAATGATTGATTAGAGTTGAATATGATACAGATTCTGTTAGGTTGACTATAATTGAGCATTGCCTGAATGGAAGTGAACTTGGTTTTAGTTTTATACAATTGTAAAGGACCCCTGATGCTGTAATGAGTTACACATTGAGCTACTAACCATAAGGTCAATGGTTCAGACACACCTAGCACTTTCCAGGAGAAAGATGAGTGTACCTCCTTCTGGAATGATTTAAAGTCTCAAAAACCCAGAGGCAGTTCTGCTCTGTCCTATATGGTCACTATGTGATGGAATCAACTCAATAGGTGAGGGCCTGAGAAGGCATAACTTTATCTTCTTGGATGGTGCAAAAACTGTGTTCATGAAGCCTACCTTGACATCACTAGGTATTAACAGGTGTGAATATGGTAGTTCATGCTTAATATCTGCTCAACTCAGTGACCGACAAGGTGGAGAAAAGATTGTACATTTTATACAATATCATAAAAATGAGCATAAAAACATGAAATCCTTTAGGCACAGTATAGGCCTCACAACTCTAAAATCCCTCGCTCTCCTTGAACTACTAAAATAAACAGACAGCATACTATAGATAAAATTCAATGAACTCTATGTGCTAAGTTCTCCATAAGTGTTATCTATGATTATTTTCCTATAATTCTCTAGTGTATTAAAATCATTCACTGTTTACAGATTTTAAAAGCTAAGATAAGACAGCATACAAAACACTGTCTGCTATTTTGTTCAAAGATAACCCTCCTTAGAGTTCTGACTACATCTCCTTAGGAATTTGGCATTTCTTCATTTCTTAAATAACAAGCCCATTGCTGTCAAGTCAATTCTGGCTCAAAATGATCAAATATGTCAGAGCTGAACTGCTTCACTGGGTTATAAGACTATATATGCTGGGTGGGGAGAGAAGTAAATTACTTAAACAGACGAGTTCAACTGAAAGATAGATGAAGACCAAAGACCTTCCAATAGAAGCACATAGACAGCCCCAGGTTTTCCAATGGTCCAACCTGATGGCACGACAAAAAAACAACAACCATAATAGCCAGATCCACTAACAGTTATATTCTAAGTTAATCATAAGATATTTATGGGACTCATTCATTTTCTGAACAAAAGAAAAGGTTGACTATCTTTTTTTATCATTTTATTGGAGGCTCATACAACTCGTATCACAATCCATATATACATCAATTGTGTAAAACACATTTGTACATTCCTTGCCATCATCATTCTCAAAACACTTGCTCTCCACTTAAGCCCTTGGCATCAGCTTCTCATTTTTCCCCCTCCCTCCCCGCTCCCACTTCCCTCCTGAAGCCTTGATAATTCATAAATTATGATTTTGTCATATCTTACACTGTCCGACATCTCCCTTCACCCGCTTTTCTGTTGTCCGTCCCCCAAGGAGGAGGTTATATGTAGATCTCTGTAATTGGTTCCTCCTTTCCACCCCACCCTCCCTCCACCCTCCCAGTATTGCCACTCTCATCACTGGTCCGGAAGGGATCATCTGTCCTGGATTCCCTGTGTTTCTCGTTCCTATCTGTACAAATGTACATCTTCTGGTCTAACCAGATATGTAAGGTACAATTGGGATCATGATACTGGGAGGGTCAAGAAGGAGGGCATTTAGGAACTAGAGGAAATTTGTATGTTTCATCATTGCTACACTGCACCCTAACTGACTCGTCTCCTCCCCATGAAAATCATACCGTTGTGCGCTCACCTTCCCTATACGATTGCTGAAGACAAATGGGTGCATAAACAAATGTGGTGAAGAAAGCTGATGGTGCCCGTCTATCAAAAGATATAGCAGCTGGGGTCTTAAAGGCTTGAAGGTAAACAAGCAGCCATCTACCTCAGAAGCAACAAAGCCCACATGGAAGAAGCACACCAGTCTGTGTGATCACAAGGTGTCCAAGGGATCAGGTATCAGGCATCATCAGAACAAAAAAAATCTTACCATAGTGAATGAGGGGGAGGTAGAGTGGGGACCCAAACAAAGTTCATCTGTAGGCAACTGGACAAAAGATGACTATCTTATGAGCCAATATTTGTAACGCCTCACTACAAAGAAAACTGCAGTGTTCCATTTTATACCATGTCTTTATCCACACTTTCCTCCCACAAAATATTCTCAGAGTGAGATCAAATGTTTATTTGATCTTATTTTTTCCTCTGTTAGTTTTGCATTTAGAATGTACTTATATTCTTTATAAGCTTCTCTAACATTTGACAATCTTAATCTATACAGATTATAAAATTTCAGTCCAATTGAGTAGGTGGTAATGATGATCATTCCCATATGTCTTTTTTTCCTCCACACTCCATTCATTCATGCATATTGCTTTATTTGATTTAAATTCCAAGGCAACATAAACTCTAAGTCACTAACGAATTCTGTCATCTGCTTCATGGTACCATGTAAAGATAGAGCATCACTGATGCTTCCCAGACACTCTGCTTCCTTTTGCTTTGGGACGACAGGATAGTTGCAGGTTGGTCTACCTCGAGCTCATAAAGAAGCACAGCACAAATCTAACAGAAACAAAAGGAAGCAACGCAAGCAAATGTCCCAGAAACAGGAAACATTAAATAAACATTTTTATTTCATGCATTTATTATATTTTACCCCACTTTTAAATTGATTGAAGTTTAGTATCTACTATACAATTTTTCCTTAGGTAAAAATTCCTCTTAATAATATCTTCTGGGAGGGAGGGGTAAAAAATGAGGAGCTGATGCCAGGGGCTTAAGTGGAGAGCAAATGTTTTGAGAATGATGAGAGTAACAAATGTACAAATGTGCTTTATACAATTAATGTATGTATGGATTGTGATAAGAGTTGTGTGAGCCCCCAATAAAATGATTAAAAAATAAATAATATCTTCCACAAGCTATTTCTCATACAATTTTGATGTCTTTATCTTTTTATCAATCATCTTGATAGACTCAGACAAATACAATATGTGTGATGTTGAAAAATAGTAAATTCAATGATATATTTGCTCCCACAACTGACTTTTTAAAATTCACTAGAAAAAAAATCATAGAAATCTTGTCAGTGGAGGATAGCATCAGCTATTGTAGCTATAATTTTCCTTTTTTAAATGTGTGTCAATTTCTGTCTTAGTTGCCTAAGTACTGATGATGTAACAAATGACACAAGTGGATGACTTTTACAAACAAATTTATGTTCTCACAGTTTAGGTATCTACAAATTCAAACTCTGAGTGCCAGATCCTGAGATAGGCTATCGCACCCTAGACAATAGAGAAAGGGCTTGGTCGGTCGCCTTGAGCTTCTGCTCCTGAGGGATCCCCTTGTGACTTGGCATCTCTCTTCCCCTATCTCTGTTTCTTTTGCATGCTTAATTTTTTGTATATCTGGAAAAAGATTGACTTAAAACATAATCTGCACTCATATTGTATCATTAGCATAGCAAACACAACCTATCCACAAATGAGAACATAACCACAAGCAGAGTGGTTAGGATTTACAACCCATATCTGGGGGAAACACAATTCAATCCATAACAGCATCTAACACATATTAGCCTTTAGACATTTTATCAGTCATCAGAGAGAGTCGGGCAAGACAGATAAGAATTTCTTTCAAGAATTCTCTTTATAGTGCCTCAAGGGAAGTGACCTATGATTGATCAACACAGAAGTTCCGCCTTCTGGTGATATAGGGAGCACAAATGATGTGTGTAAGGAAGCACTCGGGGTCTGCTGGCGTGGGTTCCCAGGAAGAAGGAAGCAAGAGTCCATCGGCTGCGATGGTAGGAAAACGTCATTAGTGGAAGGAATTGCATTACAGATGTTGTAAATTTTATAACTGAATATTTTGATAAACGGTTCACGTCTAGCTTTCTCTTAAGATCTATTCATAGTGTATAAGTAATCGTTGCAATATTTATAAACGTTGTCTGACATCCAACTTGCACGACATGATTTGGATAGTGTGAGTACACAGAGAAGAAAGATGCCCCTCTGGTGTTTTTCCCCCTGTGGAATCTTAATATATTCCATTGCCCTGCACGGATTCGTATAGCAGCTTAGCAGGAATATGAAATGAAGGGTAAGGGCCTCACAAGACAATTAACATAGAGATGAAATATTTTAGAGATACAATGTCTTTATATTACTAGAAAAATATCCACAGCAAAAATGCAAAGTAGAATGTATTCAAGTGTGAACATCTTGTAATAGGTCAAATATTTTAATTGACCAGACAAATCGTGAAGCTATTCATTATACTAAAAGGAACTAAAACTCCTTGAGGAGGAGATGCCTGCCAATGGCATTCCCCACATTCTACTCATCAAGCAGGCATATCATTCAGTGCTCTATATGGCTTGAGAAGCCACATAGGCTTGAGCCCTTATAAACATAAACGATTAGAAATTTTTATTTCAAGTGGTAAATACATTTTAAAGGTCTTTGTTATGAACTTTTGGGCATTCCTACAAAATGTGCTATGTGTGCAAGTAAAGTGAGCAAAAGGAGAAAAGAGCAACACCTGCTGCTCGATGCGCTGCTTTCCATTTAACGACCGATCACCACGTCTAGTCCTCAAAGCTACGAAGGCAGCTTGGATGGCAGAGCCGATAAAGAACATGTACTAATAAAAAAAAACAACTTTAGGGCATTCAGTATCTTGAAAATGTGACAAAATAGAACTACACCTAATAATAGAAGCAAAAAATTCAGTTATTACTTAACACAATCTATTTCAATCTATAAGTTCAGTCTATGAAAAATAGTGATTGGGATGTTGTAGCTCAGCTCCAGTTTATTTTTGTTGTTTACTGAAAAATTATCCAGTATAAAACCAAATAAAGGACATCTCACTTTCATTACAAAT